CTACATTATTTATGATACCTAGTAAAATAAAAGCACTATGTAAATAACTGTTACACTATACTATTTGGGGAATAATGACAAAAAAATCTATATTCATTGCAGAAAGTTTTTTAAAGATATTTTTCATCCAAAGGAAAGATATATTTGTGCCATTTTGGCATGGAAGCTTCGCCACCTTCAGTATACGTTTAAGTCTAAGAAGCCAACAAATCAAACACTTTGGAATGTGTGCTTCTGTAAAAACTGAGATGTACACATTTAATTTCCACGCGTCCTAGTGAAAGACAGTTTACACAAGAAACACCCTGCAACTTGTTGTGGTTCCCTAATAAGAACTCCATGGAAGAAGTGTAACTCAATGTCCAGAATGACCCTGAACTATTACAATGTGCAGAAGCTTGGAAACAACTATGTGGTGCTTCACGGTGCCCCATAGGAATGAATGGAAGGAAATGTGTATTTGTACCATTTTGGCACAGAAGCTTCCAAAGTTTCACCAACTTCAGTACAAGTTCAGGTCAGAGAACCCAATATATCTGAACTCTTTTGAGTGTGTGCTTCAATTCTTGGATACGGAAGGCTAGTTACATAAGAAAAAATCATAGAAAAGCTATGAATGAAAAACATAGTAACAAAGATGAAAAAACTTTACAGTGATATTGTCAACAAAGTCAACACTTCCAAGAAACAGTGAACTTGAAAATGCCAAAATTGAGCACAAAAAGAGACAAATTTGAGGGAAAAAATGCAGAGGAAAAAGTTGTTTTAATTAAGTAATTCATTTCTGAGAAACTGTCTTGCTACATTGTCCAGGATGGTTTCTAACTCAGGGACTTAAAAGTGATCCTTCCACTTCAACCTCCCAAATAGCTGGGATGATGGGTGTGCCACCATGCCCTGTAAGACAATTTAAATAGTCTAATATATGCAACTGGGATTCCAGAAGAAGTGAAAGAAGAACATGAAAGAAAATATTTGAAAAGAAAATGTCTGAGAACTTTCCAAAGTTAATAGCAGATACCAGAGATCCATAAAATTCAGAGAATATCAGAGTAAACACCCTAAGACTTCTAGACATAATGAATAAAACTGCTAAAAACCAAAAATCAATATGCAATCTTAACAGTAACTAAAGGGGAAAAAGGACACATACATACAGAGGGTTAAAGATACAAATTCTTGTTAGAAATTATGAAAATGAGAAAGCAAAGACCATGAGAAAACAGTTTTAAATATATGTAAAGTGCTAGGGGAAACATATAACCTATGAAACAAAATGTTATGCTCATGGAAAATAGTTTTCAAACTTAAAAAGGAAATAAAGATCTTTTTCAGGCAAACAAAAGCTAGGATTAGAATTCAATGCAAACAGACTTGCACTGTAATATACAGTACACTGAAAGAAATACTGTAGGCAAAAAGAATAATACATCTAACAACTGAATCTCCAAACAAGTGAAGTATATCAAATATGGCATGAATAAATGTGAAATGCATTTTTATAAACATTTAATTGCTTAAAACAATAGGTAGATTGTTTATAGCAAATAGTAACAATGTACTCTGTTTATAGCATAGTAAAAGTAAAAATGTTTGACAACAATGGGAGGAAAATATTGGTGACAGACATCAAGGTTCTTCTACCAAATGTGAAGAATATTATTTGTAGGTAAGAGTCTGATTAAAGATGTATACTATATGAACGTTAAAGCAACCTTCAAAAATTAACATATTAAAAGTCAATAATAGAAATAAGATGTAATCATAAAAATAATTCAAAAGGCAGTTAATTCAAAACCTCACATAAAATCTAGCAAGATATATTTTAATATAACCATATTTAAAATTACGTTAAATGTCATAGTCTTACACACTCAGGAAAACACAGATTGTCAAATACGACATGATAGTAAATCCAAACTATACAGTATTTATTAGAAATTCACTTTATAAAAGCAGCAGATAAGACAAATCAATCTTACATCTTTATACACTAAACAACAGAGCTTCAAAATTCTTGAGGCAAAAACTGACAGAAATGAGAGGAGAAATAAATCTACAAGAAAACTAAAGACTGCAAAATCACTATTAAATAACCAAAAGAACCACTGAACTGAATACTACCCCAGGTACAGGATACAGAAGACCTAAATACCACCAAGAATCATGTTGACAATTACTGAACCCTGCCCAACAATAACAGAACACGTATTTTTGTTAAGTGCACAAGGAATTCACCAAGACAGACCATATACTGGGTAAAAAAATAAACCTTATCAAACCTGAAATGACTGAAATCATAAAATTCATGTTTTCAAATTAAAGCTCACACAAACATAAATTCAAAATGGGTCCCAGACCTAAACTTAAAAACCAAATTATACAACTTCTAGAAAACAAGAGAAAATCTTTCTGACCTTAGGTTAGGTAAAGATTTCTCAGATGTAACAGCCAAATCGGGTATGATTCATAAAAGAAAAACTGAAAAACCAGACTTCATCAAGCTTATTGAAAGAACTATTAAGACAGTGAAAAGGCAAAAAACTTGAACATAACATCTATAAATCATATATTCAATACTGACATATCCAGATTACATAACGCTCTTCTAAAATTCAAAAACAAGAAAACAAAGGCAGTACTTTTTAAAAAGGGCCAAAGATCTGAACTGGACCATCTGTGATGCTGAGCTACAAGAAACACTGACTGGCTCTTCATCCTGCCTTGGTTCCTGGCACAGAACTCCTGAAATCCTTGCAATTTTCTGGGTAACAGGAGCCAACTTTTATTATAATATTTAGTCTCAGTCCCCAGTCCTGACACAAGAGCTAAGACCCTCGGCATCTCCACAGTGAGGTGTGTCTTTCTGTACGCTATGAATGAATGCTGGGTGGGACCCCTGGAAAGCTTCAAAACAAAAGAGTGACCCAAAAGATAAAAGCATGACTAGAGGGCAGGAACTCTGGGCCCCATTTCCCTGACTCAATGGAACAAAGAAAGGCTGAGGCCTGAGTCCTCAGAAACTCCTAAAATTCAGAGTCTGGAGAGCTTCTGGGTTGCTAGATACTCCCCTATGCCAACAAGGTGGTGCACCACAATTCTTTGCCAACAGAAGCTCAGAATGTTTCCAGACTTCATCCCATGTATCTCTCCCTCTGGTTATCTGTAGCCTTTATAACACCCTAACTGTGAATATAAGTGTTTCCCTAAGTTCTGTGAGCCACTGTGGCAAATTATTGACTCTCTGGAGGGAAATACGGGAATCCCTATTTATAGCCAGGTCAAACAAAGTGTGAATACCCCAGCCATTCAAAAGTTGTGCATGAAAATTGACATGGGGGAGGGGGAGTGTTAATGAGACTGAGCCCTGAACTTTTGAAACCTTGTTAACTCTGAGTAATAGCAAAAGCAAATGAAATGTCAGAATACCGCCTGGTGCCAAGGCTGGTGTGAAGGTAAAAACCCCACAGATCTGGTAGCAGAAGCCCTTAGAATAGAGAAACACTGTTTCCTTTCACTGCCAAAGGTATAAGATACCCAAATGCACACTTGAAAGATACATCAATATTCATTTAAAAAATGCAAATTAAGACCACAATGAGAAATGGCCACATAGTCACTAAGTAGCTGTAATTAAAGCAAACAACTAAAAAAACCCCAAAATCCTAATAATCCTGTGTTGATAAAGGTGCGAGTGAACCTTTCATATGTAGTGGGGAAGAAAAATGATACAGCTACATAAGTAATTACTTTCTCTATAAACCAAGCAATCTTACTTCTAAATATTTCACTTATCAAAGTAAAAATTTGTGTTCATACCAAAACCCACACACGAATATACACAGTGGTTCTGTGTAATCATTAAAAAATGAAAACAAGCCATACTGTTCCTCAGTTAGGGACTAAACGGGTAACACCTATACAATGGAATAGTACTAATGAACAATCAAAAGAACAAAACTACCAACACTGGCAACAGTCTGACATCATTCTACTTAGGACATTCTGGAAAAGGCAACTCTGTTAGGACACGAGGAAGATCAAGGTGATGCAGCTCCGTAGGGAGAAGCCGACTACAGAAGAGCAGGAACAGCTCAGGGGAGCTGCGGTACTGTCCGACTTCCTTGTTATGGTAGTAGTTTCATAACTTTATGTTTCATCAACACTTAGAACTGTGCACTAAAATGGACAATTTTCACTGCGTATAGCTGCCCCTTAAATTTTTAAAATTAAATGTTAATTTAAGACACTTCGACTCATCTCACTTAAGGATAAACAACGCTTTCTTAAATCTTTCCGAAAGTCCAATACATACTGGCAAACTTTCCTCTGTACTGGTACAGAATTGAAATAAACACGATTAGAGCGTGTCAATGTCCAAAATGAATCTTCATTGCCTGATTCTGATAAACATTCTAAGAATCTATACGGTATCTACAAAGTTGGGGTTAGACCTTGTGCCTTTTCAGAGTTTCTATATTTTATTTAAGAAATAAAACAATTTGCTACTCATTAATTCTTCTACTGGGAAACTGGGAATTTAACAGATTGCATTCAAAACCATGACAAAACTGTCTATACCTGTGCTCTGTCTTAGGGCTTCTGTCCAACCTGCAATAAGATACACTTTCGCACAAGTAAAGCAGGGTCAGTAAGAAAGAACAGATGATTATATTCACATATTAAAATCAAATCAAATGCGTTGGAATGCATTATAGAAAACAGATTCTAGTTTCAATTCTAAAATGCCTAGGATTTCTTAATATTCATTAAATTTCCTTAGTAACCCAATGAAATTTTTTAAATAAAAAGGTTCTAGTTATTGAAAGGAGTTAAAGAATGATAGAGTGTAAATGAAAATAAAGCTGTTGTGGTCTTTGACAAAGAATCACAATTCATTCAACAAGTATGCTAACTGAGTACTACTTAGGACCAATCTCAACAAAATAATAACAGCAAAATCTACTTTAAAAGGCAAAGTACACTTCTTTTATTCTTACCTCAAAGCCAAGTCTATCCTTTTCTTTCCAAAAACAAAAGTGTGTTACTTTCTTATCCCAGAACTCATCTGGCTTCACTACACAAACAAGGGACACTTCAGCTGGAACAACATTCTGTAAAACATAAAAGAAAAAAAATACAAATTACACATATAAAATGAATAACTTACTAAATTACAATTACTAGGTATTAACCTTATGCTAAGTAAAAGACTTTGGAAGAGAAAACAATAAAGTAGAAGAAATTCTTCAAACTTCAACCATAAATGGCAATAAAGACATAAAAGACAAGCAATTTAGAAAAGATATCAATCAATGTTAAACAGAGAGTATATATGCATTATTTTTGTCCTATTCAAAGTATGAATTAGGAATATATATAAATTAAACTGTGAGACTTCGTCTTAGCTGATAAGTTATTAAGATTATTACATTTTTCCGTGATACAAAAAACTTTTGTTACATGATTATCTGAAGAAATTCTTCAGAAGATGTAAAATCAATTTTCTCATAAAATGTCTGTTATCAGTGATTACACAAAGAAGATAAGATTCTGTGCACTTATTAATTTGATGAGGACAAATGGCTAGCCTTTGACAGAATACAATTTCAAGTTTATTAGATATGGCTATTCATATTACCTAAAGAAGAATGGAAATTAACATTTATGACTTAGTAAGTACAGTGGTGCCTTAGTTCAGCAGCTTAATTTGTTCCACAACTCTAGAAAAGATGTCCACCTATGTGTTCATTACCCAATATAAAGTTTACAAACAAAAACAAATTTTTGCCTAATGCTTCTGTTTGTGAACCAACTGTTCACAAACGAAAGTGTTCATGAACCAAGGTACACTGTATTTCAAATATGTTTTAACAGGAAGTCCCATAGATTCTAACTTTGAAGTACATCTTAAATCTAACCATTTCTACTACCCGCACTACTAACATCCCCAAACTTGCCAGGTTTCTCAAATATCCTCCCCTAACGAGTCTGCCTGCTTGACATTCTCTTATCTAGGAATAAAACTCAAACCCTCTTCTTAGGCCCCTGAGGCCCCCAAGGTCAGACCCTACTGGCCTCTCAGACCTGACCTCAGACTGCTTCCCTTAGTCATCCTCCTCTACTGCCACGTGGATGCTGACCTTCCTTGTTCCTGAATGTAAGTCTGTTCCCACCTCAGGACTACGCCAAGGGCTACTTCCTCTGTGGGGAATTTTTCTGCCCTATACTAAGACTACTCTCTCGGTCATTTAAGATTCTATTCAAAATGCTCTTCTCACAGAGGCCTTCCCTGTTCACTCTATCTAAAGAGAGTGAGCTAAGTCTCCTTTTACTTCTGTATTCTTCCTGGCATTCCCTGCTAAGCTAATGTGACGGTATTTATTAATCTGCTTACTTCTTGTTCACTGTCTGATTCCTCAAATAGCACATAAGCTCGCCACTTGCAGGTCCTTATCTATTAGGTCACCCCTATATTTCCACTGTATGCCTTACTTACAAAGATATTCTACAAATATTTGTTGAGAAAGTGAAGTCTCATTAACAAGTGCATTTCATTCTCAAAACCTACAGCAGAATAATTTTTAGCTTCAGAGAACTATCTTGTCTAAGTTAGAATAGAATCTAGATCTATCTGATTCTAAGGTTCTACTACACCACTTATGTTGTAGATCAGGGGTCAGTAAATGATTTCACAAAGGTCTAGACAACAAATATTTTAGGTTTTGCAGATCATACAGTCTCTGTCACAATTATCCAGTTCTTTAGAGGGAGAGTAAAAGCAGCTATGAATGCTAAGTAAATGACAGGTATGACTGAATTTCAGTAAATTATTATTTAAACTCAAGAGTCCAGCCTCTATGGTGAATTGCAAAGGATAACACTAAATAATAATAATAACCATTAAGAAAGTATAAAATTTTTCAATGTGAACATGTCACTGGACTCAAAAATCTAGCACTCCCCACAGTGATTAGGATATCACTAGCATACAGCAAGCAAAATTCAGTAATGTTGAACTTTTTATCCAAGAGTCTAGCAAATTTAGGGTAGATTTGAAGTTTAATCATACACTGACCATTGGAAGTTTATTATCTCAAAATCTTTAACATGAAATCTGTAAGAAACAGGAGAAATTGTTTCCTAAAGGTATAGGCAGAGCCAGCTTCAAGGTCTGGCCTCCCAAACATTTGGCATCATTAACTCTGGAGATAAAAGCAATGAATGACTCATAGGGAGAAATGCTATGACTAGGAGTAAACAACAGGCCATTGCAACTTCCAAAAATGTTAACTATTAATAAATCCAAAAGTTGTTAAAATACCTATCAGAAAAGAAATCGCAAGAAGGAATTAAATCCACTGATTGTTCTTCAAAACTGCCAAAGTCCAGTTCAAACAGCAAGTCCCAAACAGCTCATCTGTGACACAGTTGAATGACAGGATGAAAGGAAGAACACAAGATCATAATTAATGGATTTCTCACCGAAGAGTTATTTTAACAACTTTTACAGAGAAGAGTTCATCTTTAGGATGTGAGATACAGAAGTGCCCGAAATCTATTTGGCAAAAAATATTATGGGGTATCAGTCTGTGCTCCCTTAGAAACTGACTGCATGGATTTGCCTTTCCAACCCAACAGCATGGTCCTACTGACCAAAAGTTGAGTGGTTTTACAAAGAATGAGGCAAAGGGTGAGAATCTAGGGACCACTAGGGATACATGCTGTGGACAGAGATGCTTGGAAATGCACAAAGTAACTTCAAGTAATTTAAAACCCTTGCACTTCAATTGACCTTTAGAGATAATGTATCCTGCTCTATGAGGTAACGAGAGTAAAATTTATACAACAAGCTTGGCACAGTTCCTGAACCATTTTAAGAGTGGACCTAAAACTAAAAATTATAATCACTTTGTTTCCACCCTTGAAATCCCTTTTCCCAACTATCTTAAAAAATGATAAAACATTAAGAATCGTTCTCCTAAGCCAGGTATGGTGGCACACGCCTGAAATCCCAGCACTTGGGAGGCTATGGCAGAAGGATGGCTGCAAGCTGGAGACCAGCCTGGGCTACAAACTGAGTTCAAGGCCAACATGAACTGCATAGTGAGACTCTGTCTCAAAAGAAGAGAATCATTCTCCTTAGTTGTCACTCGGATTTTTCTATTATATTCCTTTCCACAGAAAGGCTTCCAATTGTTTCTCCTTTTTATGTCCTTGTCCCCTCCCTCTTCTCTAGTCGTTCTTTATCACTGATACCCATCTGAATGTTCACTATCACATGTCACTACCAAACCACATTCTTCCCGAACTGGCCTATTATCAGCTCCCTTCACTAAGCTGTAGTCCCTGCCAGGATGGCTTTTCATTTTTGTTCATTTAAATATTAAGTGACCTCTGTTTATTTAACTCAAAATTTACCTGTCGAGGAGCCCTTTTAAGGAAAGCAGTGAGAGCACTCTACCCCACTTTCCATCACTCAAATGTTTCATTTTTCTGTATCACATCATAATATTTTTAATGCTCTTGTAATAAACCAAGAATATCTATAAGGCACGTACTACATGTCAGAGGTCACAGAAACATTCTGTGAGGAACACAAGGAAATACAAAACACCAGACTAGTTTCAGCTCTTAAGGACTTTAGAACTATAGATGTGCATTAAATGGTAATTTGTGATTTACTAAACCCCTGAGGTCATTGCTACTGAGTACATTTCTTCTGGGCTATTCTTAAGTAGTACAATCATCATGAACTGTGACGTATTTTGGAGAAAAAGAGGGGACTAGAATGGAAGACATACCAGAGCCACTTGAGAAGCCTTTAGGAGGCCGTCCCAGGCCTGCTTCCTGCCTACTGCTCACCATGGAGCCCCAGGCAGCGTGATGCACACACATGGCGTGCAGGCCCCCGGCGAGTCCGCAGGGGTTTACCCACACTCTTCAAGAACCACTGGGCTCCTTGCTTAGATTACTTCAACATAGTGTATTTTTTTCAGTCTTTTACAAACCTTTACAAGGGGGCTGAGACTCATTTTATTATATAAATCCAAATATATAACACATGTAATTAAACTTGTAATCCAACAGTTGTATGTGCATGTTCATGACTCAGTTACTACTGAAAGGTCCAGGTCCAATAGTTCAATAAATAAAATGCATTTTCTTCATGATCTGTTGCTGTAAAATAAGGATCATTTATTCCTGATAGACACACACACACAAAAATTACCTGTAGCATTAAGACTACTGTTTTCACCACATTCCATTGTGATTTTCTGCCATCTACAATCACAGTAAATCCTCTAGCTTTACACTTTTCGCTGAAACAAAACAAAATTACAAAATATTAGAACAAACACTAGATTTCATAATTCTAAGTAAAGAAGGTAAAAGCCTTATTAATTACGGGGTAGAAGTCACATCACTTAGTTTGGTCTAAGTTAGTATTAAGTAAAACTTTGGAGTGTTTGGAAGTCCAAATTCACAAGCTAACATTCTAAAAGAAATGGAGATTTCACATCTTAGAAAGCGATGAAATCAAAGCAACACCTGCGGAGTCCCACCAGCCTCTTCATTTCTCCCTACGTCAATGGGACCAGACTAACGTGGGTAACACGCGACTGCCGTGTGCCCTGTGCACTTCCTGCCTCTCTTTCCTATCAGAAATGGAAGTTTTATGAAGTGATTGCTTGAAAAGGAGAAAATAACAACTTTTTTGTTGTCTCTGATTTTTTTTTAAAAAACAGGGTTTCACTATGTAGCCCCGGATGGCAATCAATTCTTGATCCTCGTGTCCTAGCCTCCGAGTGCTAAGGTTCTAAGTATGAGCCTGTCCCCATCAGAAAGCTACTGCTAAACCACTGGGAACCAGCTTCGTGGGGCTCTTTAGAGAGAGTGTAATGAGATAAGGTAGCACTTGTTACACAAAGTGATACAAGCTTGAATACATCGTGTCTCACCCACGTCTACTCTCTCATTCATTCTCAGTCATTTGACCAGCAAAATACGATCCTGTGTGTTAGAAAATGTGTTATTCTTATATGATATTCAATTATTCAAGTATTTATTAAATCATAGAAGTCCACTCTAGCAAAATATAACTCATGTATAGAAAATTCCATCTTGAAGATGAAACTATGCACTTATTACTACTGTTGTTATTACTTCCCTTATTAATTTAATCCAAGGATCTTAACTGGCCTCCCTCCAGGACAGAGAAAAGAGCTGCAGCCTGCTTAGCACAGTGAAGATACGACAGTGGAAGCTGTCCCCACCCCAAATTCTCTCAATTCCTTACATTTAGGAAAGGCAGACAGCAGACCTCCTCTGGGATTTAAGTTCAAAGCCTAGGAGACTTTACTGGTCCTCTCCTACGCTCTCCAAGCGTTCATGAGAGTCCCAAGGGGGTTCCTAGGAAGTAACGGGCGTCCAGTTCTACTGAGAAACAGTAAAACCACAAACATGAGGATGAAACCCTAACATCAGAAGAGAAACAAACTCCTCTCTAGGCAGGGACAGAAGCTGATCTTCCAAGGTAAACAGAGAATATATTCAAGAACTGAGGCAAAAATGAAATATATGTCCACACAAAAAACTGCATGTAAATGCTCATTAGCATAATTCACAATAGTCAAAAAGTAGAAATGATAAAAATGGCTATCCACTGATTAACAGAAACATAAACAATGAAATTATTATTCAGCCATAAGAATAAATTGACACACCACAATATAAATTAACCTTGAAAATACTATGTTAAGTTAAATACAAAAGCCAGACACAAAAGGCCATACTGTATGGTTCTACTCATATAAAACATCCAAAACAGGCAAATCTAGAGATGGGAGTGGCTGGCAATGATCAGTGGGGAGAGGAAGTGGGAGTGATTGTTAATGGGTACAGTGATTATCCTGGATGAGGAAAGTTATCTGGAATTAGCATGATAACAATGTATATGTATCAAAACCCACAAAATTATAAATCTTATTAAGGGGTAAATTTATTGAATTGTATATCTTATTAGGGGGTAAATTTTTATACTTATGCAAATTAAATCTCAGTCTTAAAAAAAACTTAAGTACTCTTTTTTTGGATCTATATTACAAAACAAAAGATCCAATAAAGGTTTTTCAGGAAAGAAAAAGGTAATGCAATACAATGTTCACTTCCGGATTAATAGTATATGAAAATGTTCATGGGTGAAGGGATGCAAGTCTTAAATCTAATTACTAGCTGTGGGCTCCGGTTGGGAGAAAAGCCCTGGAGTTCTGCACAACAAGACACATAGGAAGGCCTCCATGAGCATAGTCTCTGCACAAGAGGCAACAACTCAGGGACTCTCCCAGGGCATCATGGGAGTCTGCAGGCGGAGGAGTCATGACACAGAGCTGCTTGGTGGAGGGCCTTTCCAGCAAGAGTGTGCCATCCCTGCAAGTGGTACATTCTTGTCATTGGCATCTATATCTGAAATGTAGATTACACATCCACTTTGTTGAATAAGATTTACGAAACTACCCATTTATATATCAATACATACTGTAAATTAATCTGTGTATTTCAACTAAGAAAGTAATGAAGCTTGCAAATACCATCTGCAATGATCTCAAAACAATAAAACGCTACATTTATCTTAGAGGTCTCAAAAAAACACCCTTAATCATAATTTTCTCACATTTTACTAAAAAATAAAAATATACACAACTCAAAGATAGTATTTAGAAATTTAAAAAAAAGACCACTTGTCTTTCAAATGTGTGAAATGTGATAGTATTTTTAACTACAAGTGGAACAGTGATTTAAACTGCTTTTAAAAACAACATATTTCATGCAGAAGCATGTTGTGCCTTTATGTCTTTATAAAAGGCATGTTGGAAGACCTAAACTGTTGTTAATAATAAATTTTAATACTACTAATGTTTGCAACTATTTTTAAAGCAGTACAGAAAAAAACAATCAGGGCTCCTGGCTCCCATGCCTACTCAATTAGAGTCTTTAAAGGTAACCTGGTGTAAAAGAAGTGAGGCTCCTGATTAGGCTCGCTCACTCCTGACAGGATTCTCGAGGCCTCTCCTGTGCTAAGTATCCTGCTGCTCTTCACTTACTCTCTGATCAAAACTCAGAACCCCTTCTCTTCCACTCACAGAGTTCTGCTTAGACATACTTAATGGTACTAACTTTACTTATGCTTTCACTGTAATTATTTGTTAACAGTTCACCTTCATTAGGCAATAACAGTATCAGCTCATTCATATTTAGGCAGTTTCCAGCACACTTTACTTTAAATTCAGAGGGTGTTTTCAAATGTAAGATGATACACCTCACATCACTCCTCAGTTAGAACACAGCGGCTTTCCTTCTTATTCAGAACTGAAGCCCTCACCACTGCCTACTTAGTCATTTGTGACTGACCCAGCCTCCGTGCGACCACTCTCTCAAACTGCTGACACCCCACTGGCCTCCTCACTGTTTCTGCAGCCAAACTTGTTCCTGCCTTAGGTGCTTTGTACTTAACACTCACTCTCTCTCACACAGGCTTTCATCAAGCATCTGTGTATCCGGGATAAAATGCTACCTTATCATTTGGTAAACTACCACCCCACACACACTTCATTACTCTCCTGACGTTGCATGTTTGGTTTCATAAACTCGGGAATACACCACACACTTGAAATATTTTTCTGACCATCAGAGTGTTCCAGTCACTGAATTTGCCTTGCTCACCCACTAGCTCAGCACCTGGAACACAAGAAGCTCCTCTGGCAAGCTCCTCACAGGCACTTGCGTGTTTACTGAGTGACTGAAATCATCACTTTTGTGTTTACGTGACTTCTGCCAAGTCATTAACCACTCATCAGTCCAATTACTTAAACATGGAGTGGCTAAAATTTGAATTTTTCATTAATTTTATAACAGGAAGTATAAAAGCGACAATTTCATCAAATTTATTCAATAGTTTTTCTGTGTATGATGTACCTTAAAACGTTCAACACGCAACACAATGCTATAATGTGGACACTAGTAGCTAGTTTCTTTCTGAATTCTTTTTGCATTCTTGTCTTTCTTTGAACAACACACTTTAATCTGTCGTGTTGGCCTCTCCTTTTTTCTCTATGGGTGATATTTAATAAATGTCTACCCACTAAATGTAATGGTGAAGACGTCAATGACGGATGTCCCAGTTGCATTTCACTAACCCCTTTTTTAAGTTATTCTATGAGACCAAATCTAAATTGTAAATGACTTTGAAAAACTTTTTCATTGTTTTGTTTTGTTTTAAGAGCCAAAGTCTCACTATGCAGAGCAGTCTGGCCTTCGCCTTGCCTAGGTACCCCAGCTGGCCTGGAACTCATGACAGTGCTCCTGCCTCCGTCTCGTGTGTGTGCCATGACACACAGGTTTGTAAATGACTTTTTAAACCCCTTTACTTTGAATAAATGAGTTCCATATTTTTTGGTCCAGAAGCTGCATTAATATTTTATAATATTTTTCCTCATTTTTTGATTATGAAATAGCTTGTTAGGTATTACTCAACTCTATCACACCACCCACAGAGTGATTATACTCACTGACCACTACTGGAAAATTTTAGTTTCATTTCTTTTTTCAAGTTCCATCATTTCTGTTTATGAGCAGCTAATTTTTGTCCTTCCATTTCGTAACACAGACTTTTCCTCTCTGATATGTTAACATTTCACCCTTTATCAGTTCTTTTGCAGGTCTTTTGGCACTTCCTTTCTATTCAGTCTCAGTGTCCAAAACATGTTTATTTTGTATTATAAATGAACATCACTGGGGCCAGGGATTTAGCTCAGCAGCACAGCGCCTGCCTAGCAAGTGTGAGGTCCTGAGTTCAATTCCCCGTACAAAAAAAACAGAATAAAATTGAATTCTGAAGAAGTATAAAATTTATATGTAATCTACTTATGATAAGTTTTCATAGATTGTAACACAAAACTATAGGTTGTTTTGCACAAATAAAAATTAGTACAAATAACTAGAACTTACTCATTTCGCTAAACAAACCGCAAAGGCGAACACAACATTCTAAATAAAAAACATGTAAAAAAATTTGGTATAAAATTAATAAACAGACATCGAGTGTATCTCATGCAAACAATCAACTGGTCGAGTGACGCCTGCCCAAGCGCTGGGACAGTCAGCATGCAAGCAAAGTGCTGCCCAGCTGACGCTAGGCATAAACCACTCAGGGGCTCCTTCTGTTTCTTCTGTAATAGAAACAATTTTTTTACAGTTACAAAAAAAAGATTTCAAATCAAAATTTGAATTTCAAAAACCTAGATCTTAAAAAAAGTGAAACGATAGCTTCAAAAGACGTTGAATTTCTGTCAAGAATAATTTGGGCACATACTTAAGGAGCACTTCTATAAAAACAATTTAAGTGGCTAGAATGGGTGATTGATCAAGTACTTTCTAATCCTGACATTCTATGATTCTCTAATTGGATGATAAATAAGTTTACTTTGAGCTGGAAAATACTATGCTTTTAAATAATGCTGAATATACTGTTGAAAGAAAATTCTGAAATGAATGAAAAGGATTTTCAAGATTTCTTTTGTAATACTATATTTGAATCTGCTTCCTAATCATGATCCGTAAGTAAATCCCCATGTCTATTCTGAATCTAAAGTTCAAAAAGGAAGACAAAACCAACCCAGATAAATTTATTATTATCAAACAACTTCTACATGTCTATTTGTGTTTCTAACAATAAGAAAAGCTCTGAGAATGGGCTATTACTAGGCCCGACGAGCACACATTTGAATCTAGAGTCCTGACAACACTGAAGTATTATAACTAAGGGCAAAAACCCATAGCCAGTGACTTCTCAACACTGACCAAGTATGCGTTACTACACCGACAAATACAATGTCTAAGATAGTTTCTTCCCTCTAGAGCATATGATATTTTCGTAAAGTGGAAGAGTAATGAGAAAAACACTTTAATTGGAGTCTTTCATAGTCAAGGGTATTATCTTATTTGATATTACTAGGGAAACACCATAAACACTTGAAATCTAAAAAAGGTGAGAAGCTATTGCTTCTCATAAAATTCTACATAAAAATTTAAGAATTATCCTTAGACACATCACGCTTAAATTCCTAATGAAAGAGGGAGAAAAAATTAAATAGTGTAGGCTATTTTACCTCCTAGCCCCCTCCCCGCCCCGCTTATACACCAGAGTAAACACGAGCGAGAAGTGGATGGAGCTGACCCCAGCCTGCTGTAGTGCCCCAGGGCCCGTTATAGGCTGTGCGCATCCCGCTTCTCTGAGAGCGAATCTAGTGCATGCATGTGTTTTCTAAAACCTAATCACAAGCAAACTGTGTCTTCTAGAACTCAGGGTCATGACATGTTCCAATCCTGGATAAAAACAGTATGTTCATCAAAAGATAGCATACCGATCTCTAATCCTGCTGAGGAATGTTCTAATCTCTTAAAAAACAAGTAAGTTTTTCAGATCACTGGAATGCCAGATACAGAACTACACTGAGCTGGATTCCTATGAAGGTCCCAGATGAATGACACAGAATCGTTTAGAGCTTTCAATGATACAAACAGTCTGCTGGGGCTTGTGTGCCATAGGCTCGCCATCACTGTCCTACACAAATAACCCTGACCTCTATTTTCTACAGTCTAAAACCAGAAAGTTGATTCACATGGTTTCAAGTTCCCTGCAACATTTAACCCTGCATGCATCCATCTATGAATACTATTTTCACCATCTGTTAGCTGTTAAGCGTGACTAGTTTCTGTTACCTAACAGTAAGCAATACAAATTAGCAATCAGCAGCTCAGAGGATTAGCAAGGTTATTCAGAAATTAATGGTGACTTGAATCCAGTGATTTTCCTGTCCAGAAGGAGACGAGAGAGGAAGGGAAGACTGGAAAAAAGAGAAGAGAGGAAAGAATAGGAAGAGAAAAGTTTCACTTCAACAGCTTTATAGCCCCAATACTGAAAAATAATCACAAAAGTAATCATCAAATTATAGCTCAATTATAGCTCCTTCCACCACTGCCTTTTAACACCCAGAAACCTGCCCTCATTCTGATGCTTTACTGCAATGCTCTGCAAATCTGGCTGCAAGGTACAGTCACATAGGAAGCTTAAAGAATAAAAGAAAATTCTGCTCAACAGATTTGAATCTGAATCTCTAAAAGTAGATAGCCTGGGCATTAGAATTTGAAAATTATAACAAAAAACTCCAGATGATTCTAACACATAGTTACAACTTGGTCCTGCAAATATTAGCTATGAGAGAGGAAGTTGGGCAGGGGTTTTTTTGTTGTTGTTGCTTTTAAAGCTGGTAGACTTGAGTAAACAGAAAGGCTATTTTGTTGTTTTTTTGTTCTTTGTTTGTTATTTTTTTTTTTTTTGCTTCCCTGAAGAACTATGAAATTAGAAATTCAAGAACCTATGAATTAAAATATCAATAAACTTTTCTGTAATTTTAAAATAAAAATATTTGAAACCTAAGCTTTTACTCAATTAGAACCTATAAATGGTTTTATATCAGTACAATGAAACGGTGATCTAAAAAAATTCGCTTCTCTAATTTTTCTTAGGTTCCATAGCATACAGGCATGTTCCTGAAAAGTTGAAGGTGAAAGAGTTTTGGCCCAGACAGGACACTGTAGCCAGTAAAGCCTCAGGCAGAACCAAGGAGCTCCATCTCCCCCACCCCTAGGGATTTGCCCCTGGTGCCAAAAGAATACCAATGGGCTACCTTGTGCATCCCTAATGCCCCTCAGGCACCACCCCCAACCTAAGATACATATATGCCCCCACTCCATGTGTTGGGGGGATGCCCCAGGGGATCGGGGGTGTCTCTCCCCCCCATTCTCAAAATAAAGGTCATTTATATTTCATACTTATCTTTTCAGCCGCCGCTGGTCCCCCACAGTTCTATCAGAAAGTACATTCATTTTATAAAGCTGCATATTACGAGCATACAATAAGCTGCTGTGTTGTAAATTATTAATTTCTAGCACTTTTAATGATAATTTCACAGCTAACAATAGCAGGTAAAAAGCAAAGTATACTTCAACAACATCAGGAATAACTAGCCCACTAAAAACATTGATATTTAAGAAGAGACACCTTTAGAGTCACCTTGGAATGCTGAGTAGATAGTCCAAAGTGACACTCAATTCATCCATATTTGTTTGTTCAAGGCATAATGGAATTGTCAGAATGAGGCCACTTCGTCTGTCCTTTCCTCCTATAAAATAAGTTTAACACAGATGTTAAGACATCATACGAATAATACATACTTGAATCCAAAGGTATGAAAACAATAACAAGCTTAAGCTATAATTTAAAAAAAATCTAATGGCTATTTGTTGTTTATAAATGTTACTAGTAATACAGCAAAATTATGAACACTTAGAAAAAAATTCACCAATGAATCCTCCAACACGGCAGTTATCATTCTAATTTTCTCCCTTTTAGTCTACTTCCCAGTGTAATTAACTCATCAAACACCTGTTATGTGCTTACCACAATAAGCATTTTTAAGTAAAATAAATTTCCACCTAGCAAGAAAAGCTTGAAATCATAGAAAATAATAGCATAAACATGATAAATGTATCTGCTAATTGTATATAAAATATATTAAAGTATTATAAAAGGGGGGTTAGAAAATGGAAAAAAATGATAAAAGCTATGAAAATTATTGTTTCATAGAAAAGATTTATAACACAGGCAGAATTTGTTAATCAAGTCAAAGAACATTTTATGTTAAAGAATTATCTCAGTTCACTTGCAAAGGCCATAAAGATCTATATATTGTTCATAAGGCAGTAAAGAGAACACCTTGCCCAGTACAGCAGAACACCTGAAGACGCCTGAAAGCCTGAAATGGAACGTATTTCTATTTCATGTATGTTCAAATCCAGTTTGCCTTAAGTGTTAAAAAGTATCTTTTAAATATTATTCACTCAATGTTTTTTTCAGAGTTCTCACAAGCTCAGCTTTCACAATGCGGCCTAATTTCCCACTCAACTGACATTTACGGCAGTTTTAAAAGCTTAAAAAACAGTATTCACAAGAAAACAACTCCGTATCATCTCTTGAAATCTGTCACTAAAAACTGAAAGGTGTTCAATAAAAAAGGCTCACTGAAGTGAGTGCAACTCATGACACAAACAGAAATGACCTGCCCCCTCATCTGGTTAGCCACACAAATCACAGATCTTCAACTACTTTGCTTAACATCAGTAAATGATGTTAAATGATGCTCAAATTAATATTAATGCTAATCAATGAGAAGTTGTTTAAAAACATACATTAAAGAAAGAAGCAATACTAGTGGAATTCAATTTCTTACTTCATCCTTTATAATCTGTACTAAGAAAACATTCCAGTTTAAGAGAAACATGTAAGACACTCTGAAGAAGGGACATTTGGTTTTTTTTGTTTTGTTTTGTTTTGTCTTTTTCCTTTTTATGGGTACCAGGGATCGAACTCACGACTGCCTGCTTGTAAGGCAGGCGCTTATGCCACTGAGCTAAATCCCCAGCCCAGAAGGGACATTTGTAAAGACAATTATGACTGGCCCTAAAGAGAATTTTAAAAAAAAAAAAAAAAAAAAGTTAAGATAACAGTCCTGAAGAACCTTAAATTGGAAGGGCCACAGTGCCTATTTCGAGGTATGCGCAGATTTTCTGAATTCCAGAACATAGAATTCCTGTACCACACCATTACCTGCACCCTAGCAAGGATCTCCCAGCCAACACAGACCTCTGATAAATTTAAGCCTGCAGGGACAGTTCACTAAGATTTTTCCCAGTTTGTGGGTCTTCTTCTCACTATGCTGGAGGTTTCTTTTGACATGCAGGAACTTTTTAATAAGATGTGATCCCAGTTATTGATTCTGGGAAGTAGTTCCCATACAGTTTGATTCCTATTCATGAATTCTCTACCTACCCCTATGTCTTCAAAATGTTTACCTACTTTGTCTGCCAACAGATTTAGTGTTTTTGTTTTAATATTCAGATCTTTGATCCATTTAGATTTTAGTTCAGTATATGGTGATAGGCATGGGTCTAGTTTTAGTTTTCGGCATATGGAGAGCCAGTTTTTCCAGCACCATTTATTAAAGAGACTGTCATTTTTCCAGTGAACATGTTTGGCCCCTTTATCAAAGATAAGGTGGTTGAGTGTGTTGGTAGTTATGGTTGTATCTTCTAGTCTATTCCATTGATCTTCAGATCTATTTTTATTCCAGTACCATGTTGATTTTATTACAGCAGCTTTGTAGTATAATTTCAAGTCAGAGACTGTGATGCCTCCTGCCTTGCCTTTGCTGCTTAGAATTGCCTTCACTATTCTAGGTCTCTTCTGGTTCCAGATGAATTTTAGGAACGATTTCTCTAGGCCTATGAGGTATCTTGATGGTATTTTCATTGCATTGAATCTGTATAGCAATTTTGGGAGAATGGCTATTTTCACAAAATTTATTCTCCCTATCCATGAACAAGGGATGTCTTTCCATTTTCTGAGATTTTCTTCAATTTCTTTTTTCAGGGTATTATAGTTTTCCCTGTATAGATCTTTTACTTCTTTCGTGAGATTAATTCCTAAGTATTTCATTTTTTTGGATGCTAGTGTGAAGGGTGTGGCTTCTCTTATTTCTCTCTCTGTAATTTTGTTGTTAGTGTACAGAAATGCTATTGATTTTTGAGCATTGATGTTGTATCCAGCTACATTGCTGAATTTATTTATTATATCTAAGAGTCTTTCAATGGAGTTTTGGGAGTCTTCTAAGTAGAGTATCATGTCATCTGCAAATAATGATAGCTTAACTTCTTCTTTTCCTATCTCTATGCCTTTTATTTCTCTCTCTTGTCAAATTACTCTGGCTAGTATTTCCATTACTATACTGAATAGGAGCGGTGATAAGGGACATCCTTGTCTTGTGCCTGATTTTAAGGTAAAGACCTTCAGTTTTTGGCCATTTAATATGATGCTGGCTGTTGGTTTGTGATAGATGGCCTTTATCATATTGAAGTAAAGACCATCTATTCCAATTTTCTGTAAGGTTCTTATCATGAATGAGTGTTGGACTTTATCAAAAGCTTTTTCTACATCTATAGAAATGATCATGTGATTCTTACTTTTGGCTTTATTGATATGTTGGATTACATTTATTGACTTACGTATGTTGAACCATCCCTGCATGCCTGGGATAAATGCTCATCATCATTAGTCATTAGAGAAATGCAAATCAAAACAACACCAAGATTCTATCTCACTCCAGAAAGAATGGCCAGGATCAAGAAAACTACCAACAACAAATGCTGGAGAGGATGTAGGGAAAAAGGAACTCTCCTGCACTGTTGGTGGGAGTGCAGACTGGTGCAGCCACTATGGAGATCAGTTTGAAGATTCCTCAAAAATCTGGGATTGGAGGTCCCATTCGACCCAGAAAAAGTGAAAGAATCATACCACAGTAATATATGTGCACCCATGTTTATAGCAGCACAATTTGTAATCACCAGATCTTGGAAACAACCTAAGTGTCCATCAGCTGAGGAATGGATAAAAAAGTTGTGATATTTTTATACAATGGAATACTACTCAGCTATAAAGAATGATCACATTGAGATACTTACTAATAAATGGGTGCAACTTGAGACCATACTCATAAGTGAAATAAATCAAACTCACATGTATAAATACCGTATTGTCTCCCTAATGTAAGAAATAGTAAGAGTATATAAATTTAGGGTAATCATGATTCCCCATTACATTGTTTTGATACCCCATTACATTGTTATAATGATCGCAGTGGTAATGTTTGTCCTGGTTTTTTGATTTCATTATCTGAGATGGTATGAACAGCTAATTTGAAGGAAACAACTTATTATAATAGCCAGTACTGATATAGTATCATCTTACTCGGAAGTCCTACCACGCTCTTGCTCCTCTGTTTCCATTGGCTCTATCATGCTGTACCTTATTGGATTGTATTACGTGTGCATAAACAAATTTCGTATGGAAAATGGGATAATATAGTAGCCATTGTGTTTTCTGTTATTTGGTTCTGAAAACCCTGTAATACTCTCATTCTCTTGAATGTTTTTATACTATTTTGTTATGTTTGATACTATTGTATATGAAGTTATACCCAACTATTTCAAAGAAAGAGATATCATGGTAGTTACTGTTAATTATGGGTTGTCTTCTGGTGAAATACTGTGTTGCTTACATTGTCCTGTTCTGATCTGCTCTGTTATGTCCTGTTTTGTTTTAATCTCTTTAAAATAAAATTTAAAAAAATTCAAGCCTGCAGGACCAACTTCAAACAGTGAAAACAGTGCCACTGATACTTCACAGCTCCACGCTGCACTGCCACTCCTCACAGGAAGAGGAAAATGAATGTGCAAACAGGAGAGCAAATTACAAAATAAACTGCAAGGAAAAACAAATTACTCCAGATTCCAGAAATGCTAATTTAGGTGCCGATTTGTCAATCACTAGTACTTAATTTTTACATATAAAAAGAGAAATCACAGCACCTACCTGCTAGATGTTATTTTAATCAAACTACCAGACCAGAATAAAAACTGACCTATCAGGTACCAGCAGTGTTAGCTCACACGGCTATCCATTCTGATGAAAAGAAATACCCTTTAAAAACCCCCATAGAAAAATAAAGTGATTTCTGTCAAACCTCTCACAGAAGTTTAAACAAGTGTGTAGATCAAACACTTCCAATCTGAGGAAAACCTACCGGACAGGAAGGCCAGCTTCTTCTTCAGAATGGGTAATATAACTGAGGCTTCCATTTCACTCCAGTTAGTGTCCTCGCTTCTGAAAACAGAGAAAGTCACACGTCAACTACAAGAAAACAATTCTTTTATAAAGTATGTATTGATGATGGTTTATCCCCAGGGTTTATCCATCTGAGAGCTAGTTTGAGGCCAGACAATTCTGTGGTAGGGAGTTGTCCTGGGTGCTGCCGTGGAAGCAGATCCCTGGCCCCTACCCAGGAAACACCAAGAGCACTTTCCCCTCCGCCTTTTAAACAGCCAAAATGTCTCCATTCATTGCCAAATGTCCGGAAGGCAAATCGAAGCTGGTTGAAAATCACTGGCTTAATTGTTTTTCAGAGTAATGCTTCTGGGCTAGAATACTGCCTCGTACACAGCTGTAACTCAACAAATTATTTGTTGAATGAATCAATCAAGCAAGCAGCCAATTTTTTATTGCTTTCCTTATTAATTACACAGCTTAATCTCAAGTATGACTCCTTCTGTTCTGGTATTAAATGGAACTCTCTGATTTCTCATAATTTTGCTCCACTGTAACACATGGTAACATTTTATCCTGAAACAAGGATGCTTCCTCACACACTGTTTCAGTTTTCTACCCCTTATTAACTGTCTCCCTCTCTTCACATTTTAAGTTCCTCAAGGAAAAATATGATTAGCTTGGTTCACTGTTTTGTGGCAATCCGCAATTTATTATTCTTGGTTATAGAAACCAAGTCTCAGTAGCGGACACCAGTTATGGCTACATACAAAAGGAGAGTGCCAACACAGTGGCAGTTAGTGAGTTTGCTTAAATGGGAGTCTGGTATGGCTTGCATTCAGAGACTTGGCCAACCTACTACACTGCTAAAAGAAGATCTGAGGAGTAGTGGACCTTTAAAACAAAACAAGCCGGGTGAGGTGGTACACACGGGTAACCCCAGCTACTCAGGGGGCTGAGGCAGGAGAGCTGCAAATCTGACACCGTCCTAGACAATTTGGTAAAACTCTGTCTCAAGATAAAAAGGACAAGGGATGTAGGTCAGTGCCCCCTTAGTTCAACCACCAGTGCCGAAACCAGAAAAAGAAAACCCAAGGCACAACCACACTGTCTTACACTTACTTCTCTATCTAAGAGTACTTTCCCTCCCGTTTTATCCCTTCCTCCTCTGCTGCATCCACGCCCACCAACCATCACCAAGCAGAACAGGCCTTGAAGTGCACTGCAAAACTTCGTTGTGTTTATCAAAAATACACACTCTCTTGAAATTTTCCAGCAAAGTACAAAATAAAGCTCTACACAGCTCACTTTAGTAGCTACACTACCAGCTGGACCCAGACACAGCGTCAGAGCCCTGCCCTGCCAGACACAGTCTCTTAAAAAAATTTCAGATAAAAGAAAAAAAAGGCTACAACCTTATTATTGTCAGATAATGGCTAGTTAAACCAGTATATTATTTTACAGCTTTTGTATGATACACACAATAAAAACCTACTATTTATACCTGTCTACAAAATAAATAAATAAATACCCCCTGCAAACTAAGTGATGTTCTTTTCAAGTTTTATTCCTTAAATATTTGTAATTTTATTCAGTTTTGTCCAATATTAGCACAGCCTACAAAGTAGTAGTAAAGATGAAAAAATTCACATTTTACATCTTTTATCAGAAACCAACAGTATTTCATGTTGCCAGATTAACTATTACCCAGCTATACAGAAACCCGAAAAGCCTAGATTCATGTCTTGAATCCCTTCTGCTCTAACCAGCTTACTGGGGAGCTGATTTGAAGCTTAATAATGATGATGATAATAAGTATGATAATTAACATTTACTGTTCACTATAAACCATACATTGTTTTAAATGATTTCTTTGCATTAACTTATTTAATCTTCATAATTTTCCTAAGTACTATTATTACTGCTACTTCACAGCACAGTAACTGAAGCTCAGAGATGTAAATGCTGCCCCACTCACACAAGCAGTAAGTGCTGAAGTTATTCTCATGCAAGCAATCTGGTTCCAGGAAGGGAACTTTCCTGTCACACTACCTGCTTACCAATTAATCAGCTCCGAAATACCTGACTGATTAAACAAAATGAAGTTTCAGCCTACTTGCAAAATGAAAATAGTCAGACTACATAAATAGTATAATAAAAAATATGCGTATTTGGTCTCTGTTCCTGGCTCCTGGCACAGAACCCCTAAAGCGCTCGGAATTTCCTGAATGGTGGGAATCTCCCTTGTTCCCAGGGAGTCCTTTCCTATCACACCTGAGTTTATGTGAACAGTGATTTAGGGTCAGGCCCCTATGCAACCAGAGGAAGAGGTGGCTACCAGAAAGACAAACTCTGATTGGAAGTTAGGAACTTTCAACTTCCCTGTTTCAACCTCCCTCACTCTCTGGGGTTGGAGAGTCAAATCACCAACCACCAATGATGTTATCAATCACATCTACACGGCAAAGCCTCTGTAAAAAGCCTTAAACAGGAGTTCGGAGTTTCCAGGTTGGTGATGAACGCTGGAGAGCATATCAGAACACTGTACCTCCCCTGTTCCCTGCCCTGTATCCCTTCTGTTCGGCTGTTCCTGAATTGTCCTGCACTGTCCTTCACAATAAGTAAATGGTCTTCTGAACCCGTGAGTTCCTCTAGTGAATTACCAAGCCTGAGGGTGAGGGCCGAGAGAATGCCTGATTTGTAGCTGAGTCGGAAAGAAGTGTGATAACCTGGGGACCACATACGTACTGGTGAGTGCCATCTGATGTAGGTCTTCAATGATTATGCTCTTAAACTTTTGACTGGTAGTGCTGGTCCTTCATGCCAGAACTGTACTACACTGTAAGACAACCCAGCTGGTATCCAGAGATTTGGAGAAATGAATGATGTAGGAAAAGCCCCATATACTTACTGTCAGAGGTATGTCAGTGAGAAGTTGATAATCTACACAGAGTTTTGTCACACTCATGAGTCAGGCTGAGGCACCAAGTACTTCAACCCACCCACGCTTTTACACCATCAGTGTAAATGTCAACACAGTGAGAGGGGCAAATACCTAAGAATTATAAAAAATAGCTCTGACCTCACAGAAACCCTGAACATTAGAAACAAGTGCTAATCTAGGCAGTCAACAGAATGCTCCAACAAAAGAATTTCAACCTCAAGGACTTAGTTATAGAATCAAAACTAATTTCCTAGCCAGACTTTTAAAAATCTGGTTATGAGCACAAAATCTGAACTGCTTTTAATTCTTTTTTATATTTTGATCTATGTCTCCAGCCTTTTTATCAAGACTATAAGTTCAGTAAACCCTTTTTCTGCTTTAGTTAGCTAGAGCAGGTTTCTCTTAGTGAATGGAGAAATTTAACAGGACTGGAAATCAACACAATAATTTAAGAGTTTAGTTCACCAAATCTCCCTGGTTTGATGGAGGGAATCTGTTGCCATTTAATTTAAATAAAAATGTCCATCAATACCTTGAGACTTTAGCCTTTAGCCTTGAGACTTTAGCCATGTCAAACCCAATTATCAGCACCTAAAAGATGAGAACATTTGAAATCCCTTGGTTCCCATAAAAAATAAGAAACAAAGCTGCAGATGGAATAAAAGCTCGTACCAGAGCTTTGCAAGTCAGCTAACTGGTTTTCTGCCAGTCAATGCCAAAGTTTAGTTTCTCACCTTTGAGTTCTCCCCATCCTTAAAGAGAAACAGGGAACAGGCCACTGAGGGAGACCCAGATGCCAGTCTTTTCCCTCGAGTTAGCGCCATTTGTGGACTGTGGGGGAGAACAAGAAACCAACAAGAAGCCAAGCCCTCCTTGTGAGTCAGCCCCAAGAGCAGGCCACTGAAGTAAGAACCAGACACCAGCCTTCCCCCGAGGGGGTGCCATTTGCAGACTGTGGGGGAAGAGAATAAGAAACCAGTAAGAACTCAAGTCCTCCCTGTGAGTCAACACAATATGCAGGCTGCTGGGGAAGAACCGGACACCAGCTCCTTCCAGCGCATGGGCTAGGAGACAAGAAGAACCAAGCCCCCACTCCCATAAGTAACTGGCTGATCCAATGACACTATTGAGGTAAAATACAACTTAATATAATGTTTCCTGTTCCACTGACTTCCTAAAGCTGATAGTCTGATATCTATTCAGAGGAAAACAATACGCAATGTAGCATCTATGGGGGATCTCTTTCTAAAGGTGGTAGCCACTGTTAATTTCCTATTATCTGGTTTTGAATTCCTGAATCATTTTCATTGTTTTGCTGGGTTTGGTTTTACTCTGTTTTATCTTGTTTGATTTTATTACATCCAAAGGCATGGGCAGCAATTTCAAAGGTAACAAGATACATTATGGTAGCTATTTTGGATTTACTATTATCTTGTTTTGAAGTCCCCTACTGCGTTCATTGTTTTGTTTTTATCGGTCCTATTCTGCACTTTTTTGTTTGACTTTTACTATGTCTGAAGGAATGGGCAGCTGTTTTGAAAACAAGAGGCATTATGGTAACCATTGTTGATTTCTTATTGTCTTGTTTTGAAGTCCTGTATCACTTACACTAATTTGTTTTGATTGTCTTTATTATTTTATTTTGCTTGGATTTATTCTCTTTAAAAATTACAAAAATAAAAATTTAAATTAACAGAAAGAAACAGGGAAATGACATCAGTGTCTTGGTCCAGATTCATTTGGGCAATAAAATCCCAAGCAATCTTCATTTCATCGTGCTCCTTACCAATGTACCCTTTACTCAGCTCTTCTTCACTGTACACAAACAGCTCAGCAGGGCAAAAAGTATGCTGTTGTTCTAATCCAGCAACTCATTTTAGAATACATTTAAAGTAATACAGAAGTTTAATCAAAACTACAGGTTTGAGTACAGTATATGAGCCAGATGAAATGAATTGACAGATAAAATATGAACCAATCAAGAGACAAACACAATTACTTTTTTCTTCATCCTCATCTAGTCTCCTTTGTATCAATATTTTTCAGCTGTCACTAAAGAGCTAAGTAATAAACAATAGTGACTACTGTATCATTAGTTCAAATTAAAACTAGTTTC